GGGAAAGATATGGTAATCACCCTTTGGAAAAGGCATTAGAAAATTAAAATAATTTGTCCTTGAGGGAACACCATGGCTGTTCAAAATGTATCTAACATTACATTTAAACCTGAATACTCAAGCATCTATGTCTTCAGCACAGTCTTCCCTTAGTAAAGTATTAAATGTATTCAATGCCAGGTCTGAATGTTAAGCAATTCTTCCCATAAAAGTGTTAGGTATCTATATGCTGCTAAAGAAATGAAGTTCACAGGACACAGTGAAACCAGAGAGAAGCACCTAATACTATGATCAATTCCTTTCCAATATTTGCAGAATTTTTTATTATTTTTTTTTAAAGATTTTGATATATTCACTGTATAATTAACATAATTATTAGGCAATATGTTGCATACGTAGCATACATATAATCTACATCCACATATATACGTCTGCACTATTAAAAAGAAAAGGTGCTGTAGTGCAGCTAGACAATGTCACAAAAACTAGTGCCTGATGGAGCTGGCTGCAACGCACTGGCCATTTGCACTGCTGGCACAAATGTGTTTGGCCCTTAACCTAACCCAAACACTCTCAACCACATCATGACTATATATTCTAGTGCCAAATGTGCACATCATAAAGACAAACAGAATGAAAGCATCCAATACTTTCTTCCTCAGCACAGGCTGGCAACACTAATCTCTCGTTTAAAGGTATTGCTGTCAGCAAGACCATTTACATGTAAGCAGAAGCAACACCCAGCTGCACTAACCTGATCCACGCCAGACCTGGGCACACAATCTCATTTCTGTTGAAGTAGTGAGAGCACACAATACAGAGTCTATGCCAGCTTTGTGGTTTTTAGGCCTTCTGTATGTCAGTAGCAGGAAAAGAGAAAGCAACTGATCAGGTTGCTCGTGCAGAATTAATCTAAGTTTTCATACAACCTGAGACCAAGAGCAAGCTTATAGCAAATCAGCACTTTGCATTACATAGCCACTATTTTCTTTAACTTATCACCAGCAATTTTAAGGCTGTGCTTAGTGCACCATCAAACTATGACAACAGTTTGGTAAGGTGGAGATGAGTTTTCAGTCTCCCATATGGCAAAGTAATTGACACTCGTGGAGAACAAGATACCTTCTAATTATGGAACACCTTGACAGAAATAAAAATAGCCTTTATCAGAAAAAATCTGGGGGGAAAGGAAGAAGAAAAATATTTTCAAGCATTGCATAGTGCCAAAACATGCATTTATATTCTTGCTGGTCTGTCATTAAAAGTACTAATCAGTGTTTTGCTGTCAATGGCAATACAATTTACGTTGGTGTATAAAATCATATGAAGGAAATATCAACCTTGGAAATGAGCTGTTCACATACATAGGTCAGAAAACTTTTGCAATAAGGCATATTAATAGAAAATAAGCATCCATTCTAACACATAACTGTTAACTAAAAAAAAGTTTACCTCTTCAGTCAACTTGATTTAAAATAAAAAAATCAGATAGTTTATTATGCTCATGTCTTATGTCACATCACAGCTTTAATGCTTCAGACAAAGAGATGTCAGCACAAAGTCCCAGCCCAGAAAAATCCCAAACTAAGGACTTAAAAAAAAAAAAAAAAAAAAAAA